TGTGTGAGAGTGTGTGTGACTGACCTAGGCAATCACACTGCCCACATCATCCCACTCATCTACACCCACCACACCTCGTTTTCCCCTCGCCTTTGCTCTTCCACCCTCCGTCTCATCCATACGAGCAACCGAGTTTTTCTTGCTTTGTAATAACCAAAGAAAAAAAACTTTTTCTGTCTTGTCGTAAAAAAAAAAAAAGTGACGACAAGTTGTAAAACGCCCCCTAGCCAGATTTCGTTGTGTAGTAGGGAAAGACATGCCTCCTAATCCGGACATATCTTGAGATCCGTCCTGGTATGTCTCACCTGGCGGGCGGTGCGGAGAAGACAGGAGACAGGATCATTCTTTTTAGGGTTGTTTAAACTAGTTAGGATATCATCACATCAATGTACTTCATAATACCAAAAAAGAAAACCGGGAGTTCACACCAACGGTAACCGATGTGAGCCAATGCCAATTCTCTCGGAGAGGGGGAGGAAGGGGTCGGTGTGTACAGTGTCTCGTGGTAGGCCTCCCTCTACTCCGATCCCTCTCAATATCTTGCCAAGAGGATCTAATACCTCACTTCCCATCTCAGATCGGATGTTTTTGAGCGATGAGGAGCCAGCAGCAGCAGCAGCAGCAGCAGGAAGCAGACGTGGTGTAAGTATAGATCAGGACCTGTCAGTTGTAAGAACAGCCCAACCTCACAGACCCTAGGCCTTTCAGCCGCAAGGCCCCCGCCAGCAGTTTTCGTCACTTTATAGGTTGGGATTCTTGCAGGTTCCGAGCTCCGGTCCGGTTTTTCCAAGTCAGCCCCCGCAGCCTTGGATACCGGTGACTCGATCTCACAGCTCCAAGTCATCCATCATGGGGTGGGTTCCAGGTTCTTAGACTGCTAGACTGCCAGACGTGCAGCGCCCAGTAATAACCATTAGGCTGGGAAAATCCACCAAGAAAAGGTAGAAAAGAAAACGAAACGAATGGGGTGATATGCGGTACCAGGTTCGTGAAATCACCAAGAAAACGAATCGATTGGCTGAGGTACGTCCCAGCCCACCGATCCTGGAGAGGTAGGTGTTGAACTGCAACCCTCCAATGGTATGGCGTCGTCACCGACTCCCGGTCCGGTGGTCGCGGTGGTGATCATCAGAGGGTTCCGTCTCTGGGTCTCTGGGGTCTCTGGGGTCTCTGGGGGTGGTGGTTCGCGTGAGTCCTCAATTGCTTGGTAAACTCCCAACTGTATATCCGTAATGTAATCCGCAGACAGTAGTGTAATATGTACCCCTGTCGACTACCTTTCAACCTGGTGTATGTCTCTCGGCGGCCCCCTGGACCGACCGGGCTTTCCGTGCGCCGTTTGGCTGACGGTGAGTGGTGACAGGTGCTGGCGGCCCCTGGGCACCGACAATCTCACCCCCTACCGAAGGCTGCTGTTCGCTTTGCTGCGCTCTCATTTGCTGCTTTACTTTGACGCGGCACTTGGGGAACGGCCGCACCGACGTCAGCCTCGGTGTCAGCCAATCACGCCGTCCAGAGCATCCCGTCCTGCAGACTGCTCCGCCAGCCGAGGGTGGGGCTCTCTTTCGAGCAAGTCGCACCTCCGAGCCGAACCCCTGTTTGTTCGGTCTGCTACGGCATGCAGCCCTACGGGGCCTTGCCTGGAACGTGCACTCATCCGCGCGCGGGGGACAATGCTCTCATCCACCCATAGGTAGTCTCATCGGACTGGACTGAGACGGAGGGATCAGAGACGGTTGACATCAATCTTGTTTACACTTTTTATTAGCATCGATCGATAGTCTCTCTCTCTCCGTCATTCTGCCTGTCTCTGCGTGTATGTACTTACTTCCCTGCTGCGGGTGGCATTGACAGGGTGCAACGATCCCTTCTGAATGGCCGAGGCATCTCGGAGCATCTCACACATACGAATGCACACAATCGGTGCTAAATCACGCTCACTTTCCTCTTCCAGCCTGTCTCGCCCACTGATTTGCGTTCGTGGCCTTGTCTTCCAAGGTTTGGGTTTTGTAAAAAGAAATGTCCTAGATATCGGTTAGATTCTACTCCTCGTGTAAGGGGAAACGAGCAAAGATGGCCTCATCACCTTTGCTTCCACCCAACCTACTCATTTACCAGATGTTACTGGTATCGCATCTCGGCTGCAACTCACCCGGCGCAATCTACCCGCACCATGCCTGAGACCACGACAAGAACGGGCATCGCATTCGTTGATCGTCTCGGGGCCGCCTGACTGCATACCGCAGCCGCAGTCGTCTTATTCGTCCCGGGGCGAACCAGACCATGTGTGATTCCCGCGCCCTTGGTCCCGTCTCATACGTTGTCGCGGTCCACCTTCGGTAGTAAGGCTGCATCACACCATCAACTGGCTCCCGCGAGGGGGGCTTGTTTGAAGCCAAGTGTATGGTCTACCTTGGGTCCCACAGCCTCTCCGGTGATGGCCAACGTAAGAAGCTCACTGATCCGCGCCCTCCTCTCAGTCTTGGGGGCTGTTTGATGCCTGCTTCCCCCTTGCGGCTCCTCATTGTGATATATATCGACCGTCCAGTACGTCTTCTTCCCTGTTCGTCTTGACGAGAGAGTATTATCGGTTATGGTCATTCTGTCTTTGCAATAACCTGTCTCTCACCAAAACGTCCGAGTTGTCAACATGGTTGGAGTCCGCGGCAAGTACAAGGGATGCGAGACATGCAGGGCTCGAAGAGTCAAGGTAAGCACTCTAAAGGCGTTTCGACAGCAAAAAAAAAACGCCCCCCGCGGGCTGACATGTCAACGGTTAGTGCGATAACGAACGGCCACACTGCCGCAAGTGTATCGATAGCGGCCGCGAATGTGCTGGCTACGAACGAGAAATGGTCTTCATCACCGCAACCATAGACGACGCAGGCCGCTGCTCATCACACCCGCCCCGCCAAGTCCAGTCGTCTTCTTCCAGAGGTTCTAGGAGAAGCCAAACCGTGGACGAGGTTCCTCGCTTGGTACCGACAGAACCGTTGATGCCGGCATGGGATGACTTGGTTTCCGTGTCCGACAACGGTGTCGTATACTCGATACAGATCGCGGCATTGCACACCAGGTTCCAGAACATCATGAGGGGACCCGAAGGGCAAAGCCAAGTAAAGTTCCGGATGGCCCTACCGCCATACTCATCAGTTGATATGGAGACATGGGATAACGGCGGCAACATGGACCTAAATGCGCAGAACATGGTCAGTCTGCTGCCATCAGGGAATGACAACGGAGCCCCCGAAGGTCTTTGCGTATTTTTATTCGAGGTGAGATGCCAGTTGGTCGTCGCGGAAGAGCGTGTGCTGACTATCCTTGTAGCAAAATCCATCCTTTTTGGTGACCAACGGCATGACACCCTGGAGTGTCCCCCAAGAGCATATGGACGTCGTCAAGAAGCTTGGACCGGAACAATTTCGTCAATTCCCAGCCCACCACTATTTCGTCAGGGTATATAGGTGTAATGCTGTAAGATACGCGTCGTTGGCCCTGCGGATGAACTAAAAAGCTGACTTGGTGCCAAGATCATACTCGCTCTCTTACACCGAAAGACGACGTTTCTTTCTTCGTTCGAATGGTGCACTACACCGTGGGAACAGCACCCTAAGACGTTTCTCGACAGGCTCTTTGACATCATCGCCGGGTTGCCTGGCATCTTCTCTCGCGTCGACCGAACGGTACCCTTTGCTGCAACCTTGCAGCGTCGATTAAAGGCACAGGAACTGTTGGAGAGCTGCTTGGAAATCGAACGGAGGCTGGAGGAGTGGGAGTCGTTCGCCCGCGCGCCTACTGCCGAGCACCCGTATGCGTACTGGATAGAAGAGCCGGATGATCCAGATGCGCAGCAGCTACCCTTTGCAGACAACTTTGCCTTCAAGGACGGTGTGTCGTCCGTCATGTTCCTGTACCACTGGATGACACTGCTGCTCCTCCACCGCTGCATCGAGTGCCTGCACCACACCATTTTCCAGCCTGTCATCGAGGACTTTCCCAACATGTACCCGGATCTGCCTCCGAATCTGCAGATCAACCTGGGGAGGTACCAACAGAGGCGGGAGTTTGCGTCAAGAATCTGCAGGGCACTCGACTTTGCGCTGTCGACGACAGTTCAGCCGGACATGTTGGTTGCACCACTAGCCGTGGCCATGGAGTTCTATCGCGAGATCAATGCGTCGTCAAGGGACGGCGAGCTCGAGATTATGTGGTGCGATAACTTCAGGCTGCGTTTGACCTCCAAAGGTCACGATATTGCCAACGTTCTGCAGAGCAGATCATGGACCGACATTGCCAGGTTCTGAGCCAGCTGGCTACTCGCTCCGTCTGCCTGACAATTGAAAAGGGGAGTAACGGGTCCGATCAAAACATGGTGGAAGGTATGAATGGGCGCAGGCGCATTGCATTTCTGAGAGTATCAAAGTCGAGAGCGCTGGACATTTGACGTTCGACCTGATGTAGAGGGTAATGGTGGACTGCCACCCCATATCCTGCCATGTATTGTTAATATTGTGATGGAAAACTAAAAGGTGTGTTGTAGAAGCCGATCTTCAACGAAATCTAGAGATGTCAAAAGAACATTGCAACCCATCTGGTTTGTAGTTCATGAACGAGTAAAATGTTACGCACGGGGACTTGTAATTCAGAAGGTGCTCGTTGACATACAACCTGTATGTGGCTGCTTGCCTGAGCTTCCATCTGGCGGGTGTGATACGGATAAGCGCACAGACCTCTAAGCTCGAGTGACCATTACCCGGACTTTCCCCGGCCCTGCAGGAGCTCCTGGAGCTTTTCAGCCTTTCCCACGCCAGCAGGCGCCAAAGCTTCGTCAGACCTGCAGCCTGCCTCTCTTGACCTTACCTTACCTCACTACTCCATCCACCCTCAACCGACCGCACCTCTTCAATCACGGCGATTGTCCCACAACATCCAAGCAAATCGTCAATCCACATACCACCACACATATCTCCGATAATCCGTCCCTCAATCAGTCAGTCACCATGGCTTCAGGATACGACAGAGCGTTGTCCGGTAAGGGCCCCCTCCTTGTTGCCCCCCAGCTCCACTGTACCAAGCTAACATGCACCTGCAAACAGTCTTCAGGTTCGTCACGGTTGCCCCTGCCCCGGAAATAATTCATGATCCCCAACTGACACCGTCAGTCCTGATGGACACGTTTTCCAGGTCGAGTACGCTGGCGAAGCTGTCAAGAGAGGTAATGCCGCTTGCCCGCCGCAATCAAGGGCGGAACCAGCTAATCATCGGCATAGGAACGTGTGCGGTCGGCGTCAAGGGTACAGATGTCGTCGTCCTCGGATGCGAAAAGCGATCAGCCATGAAGCTGCAAGATACCCGAATTACCCCCTCCAAGATTCAGCTCCTCGACACCCACGTCTGCCTGGCATTCGCCGGATTGAACGCCGATGCTCGTATCCTCGTCGACAAGGCGCGGTTAGAGGCACAGTCCCACAGACTGACCGTCGAAGACCCCGCCTCCATCGAGTACATGACCAAGTACGTTGCTGGTGTCCAGCAACGGTACACACAGAGTGGTGGTGTCCGTCCCTTTGGTATCAGCACCTTGATTGTCGGCTTCGACAGCGGCAGCAAGGTCCCCCGCCTTTACCAGACCGAGCCCTCTGGCATCTTCTCCGCATGGTACGAGCGACTACTCTATACTATGCGATGCGGTGCATCTGCTAACACCTTGCAGGAAAGCCAACGCCATCGGCCGTTCCAGCAAGACCGTTCGCGAGTTCCTCGAGCGCAACTACAAGGAGGATATGGACAGAGAGGCTACCATCCGACTCGCCATCAAGTCTCTTCTCGAGGTTGTCCAGACCGGAGCCAAGAACATTGAAATCGCGTTGATGGCACCGGGTAAGACGATTGAGATGCTGCCCGTGGAGGAGATTGAGAACCATGTCAAGAGCATCGAGCAAGAGAAGCAAGAGGAGGCGGCCAAGAAGAAGACTGGACGCACACCCGGCACCGGAAGCGCGGCGATCCTCACAAGAGGCTCGGGCTCGGGTGACGGTGATGAGTAAGGAAATGACTAGGCGTTGCGGTTCGCGGATAGACGACACTCATGAGGGTATCTGACCAAATACCAATGTATTACCACCTTTAGACCGTGGAAAATCTACAAAAACGGTGTCCATAAAATCGCTTGCTGCCACACTGATGCTCGTAAACCAGCTAAACCCCCCCCACAGTTTAGCCCAGCTTGTCCGCATCGTCTGTTGGGTCGAATATTGAGCGTCCGGCGATTTGGCGGACACGCTCGTCCTTGATCATGCGGCTGTCCTTGCGCGCGTCTTCGCCCTCAACGGAGATGGCTGCCTTGGGTGTCTTTGCCTCAATGACGAAGTGGTTGTCGCAGTGCGGGCAGTATTCGTCGGCATCTTCAAATTCCTGGGCGTCTTTGCGGAAGCACTTTTTGCACTTCTTGCAAGCAAAGACCATTTCAAGGCTCTGAAGCAGGGGGTGCTTTTCCTGCTCATGGTGACACTCAGCGCAGTCGAACCATTTTTTGCCTAGGAAGGCAATCAAATTAGTCGGGTGTAGCTTGGGTTAGTGGCAGAGGGGGATTCGACGCACAGCAGGGTGACCTGATTGCGACTTGCGCGTTGAGAATGTGTTTGCTGTGGTGAGATGTTAGCTTGTCGGTCAGGGGTTGTGGGTTCTCGTTTGGCTCACCACATAGCGGGCTGTCTTCGCGGTATAAAGCAATAGATCGCGTTGTGGTTACAGGTGCGTCGCGGTCGACTGGTCAAATCGAATGTGTCGCGGTTATGAGTTGGCAAGTCGAGGCAATGGGGAGAATCTTCTATCAAAGATTTGGCGGTGCTGATAAATTTGGCGGGGTCTGGATTTATCGCCCAAGTCTTCCCTCCCGGTACCTACTTACCTACACCTTGCACCCCGCGAAGTCGCTCTGTAGTGGTCTCCACTTAAGGTGCCGGCCAGTGACAAAGGGTGCCACCCCTGTAGGCAGTACCCTTTGCCTGCGAAACCTTAGGTACCACTTTAACGCCGACGCTTAGAGTTGCTTACCTTTCGCCGATGCGTGCCTGCAGGCTACATCATCCATCCACCCATTTCCTAGGTTTTTTGATTTCACCACCATTCATCTCCTATCTACCCCCCAACAACCCGCAATCCTGTCACGATGCCACCGAAGAGGAAGGCTCAAGGGGCCGCCACCGGCAGCTTCAAGGCAGGAAAGGGCTCTGTAGCTTCAACACCTGGGGGCGCCACCCCCAGGAGTATCGCCAGCGATAATGAATCGGTAGCGGATCCCGTGAGCGAGTCGGAAGACGAGAATCTCGAGAAGAACGTCGACAAGTTCTCCGTCGAGGCGTACCTGGACAGGCCCAAGACGAACGGCCATGAATCCATGACTGGACTTTTCAAGAAGAAGCGCGACTTCTCCTTCCTCCAGCTGAAACCCGATTATCAGAATCGCCCGCTCTGGATCGACCCTGCCAAAGGCCGTATTTTCCTCGAAAGCTTCAACCCGCTGGCCGAGCAAGCACAGGACTTCCTCATCACCATTGCCGAACCAATTTCCCGGCCGTCCTTCGTTCACGAATATGCGCTCACGACACACAGCTTGTACGCTGCGGTCTCTGTGGGCTTGTCACCCCAGGATATCATCAACACTCTCGATCGGTTTCTGAAGATGCCTTTGCCCGACAGCATTCGCAAGTTCATCGAGGGCTGCACGCAAAGTTTCGGCAAAGTCAAGCTGGTGCTTAAGAATACGAAATACTTTGTCGAGAGTACGGATCCGGTCATCCTGCAGAAGCTGCTGAAAGACTCCGTCATCGGACCGCTGCGAGTACACGGTACGGAGGAGATTACCACAATAGCGGCTCCGAAACAGGGCCCTCTGGTCATTCCAGGCACTGCCAATGCTGCTGGTGTGCGACAGGCAGAAGAACAAAAGGCCAAGGGACGCGAGGGTGAGGTGAAGGAGGGCGAGGTCTACGCGGCACTGAACGATGACGACGATGACGATCAGGAGATCACGCATGCCTTTGAGATCGGGGACGAGGCAGTCGAGACCGTTCAGAAGAGGTGTCTTGAACTGGAGTACCCGGTGTTGGAGGAGTACGATTTCCGACGAGATGAGGCCAACCCGAACCTGGAGATCGACTTGCGCCCGGGCACCTTGATTCGACCCTACCAAGAAAAGAGTCTGAGCAAGATGTTTGGTAATGGACGAGCCAAGAGCGGTCTGATCGTCCTTCCTTGCGGTGCTGGAAAAACGCTTGTCGGTATCACCGCAGCTTGCACCGTCAAGAAGGGCGTCATCGTCCTCTGCACCAGTTCCATGTCTGTCGTGCAATGGCGAAACGAATTCCTCAAGTGGTCCAACATCAAGCCAGAGGATATCGAAGCATTCACGTCAGACAACAAGGGCAGAATCTTCCCGGGTAACACCGGTATCATTGTGACCACATACTCCATGGTGACGCAAACCAGGGAGCGTTCTCACGAGGCCAAGAAGATGATGGACTTTTTGCAGACGCGAGAATGGGGTCTGATGCTTCTGGACGAGGTCCACGTTGTCCCCGCCAATATCTTCAGAAAGGTCACCTCGTCCATCAAGACACATTCCAAGCTTGGCTTGACCGCCACACTGCTTCGTGAAGATGACAAGATCTCAGATCTGAACTTTTTGATTGGCCCCAAGTTATACGAGGCGAACTGGATGGAACTCAGCGAACAAGGCCACATTGCCAAGGTTCAATGCGCTGAGGTCTGGTGCCCCATGACTACGGAATTCTACGATGAGTACTTGAAGGCGTCGGCCAGAAAACGCGCGCTGCTGTACATCATGAACCCGAGAAAGTTCCAAGCCGCTCAGTACCTCATCAACTACCACGAGTCTCGAGGCGACAAGATCATTGTCTTTTCGGACAACGTCTACGCTTTGAAGACGTATGCTGAGAAGCTGGAGAAGGCTTACATTTTCGGCGGCACTGGACAGGCAGAGCGCATGAACATTCTGCAAAACTTCCAACATAACCCTCAAGTCAACACATTATTCTTGTCAAAGATTGGTGACACATCCCTCGATCTTCCCGAGGCTACCTGTCTCATTCAGATCTCGTCACATTACGGTTCTCGCCGTCAAGAGGCGCAGCGACTCGGCCGTATCTTGCGAGCCAAGAGGAGAAACGACGAGGGTTTCAATGCCTTCTTCTATTCCCTGGTGTCGAAGGATACCCAGGAGATGTACTACTCCTCCAAGAGACAGGCGTTCCTGGTCGACCAGGGCTACGCCTTCAAGGTCATCACGCAGCTCGCCAACATCGAGAAGACACCTGGCCTAGCCTACGCCGCGGCGAGCGAGAGACGAGAGCTCTTGCAAAAGGTCCTCATCGAAAACGAGGCCGGCGGCGAAGATGAGGTCATTGACGACCTGTTCCACAGCGGCACGATGGGCCGCGCGCCGGCCAGGGGCAGGAAGAAGGCCGCCGCGAGGAGGACGGCTGGTCTGCTGGGCGACCTGTCGGGTGGACAGGACATGGCCTACATGGAGCAAAACAAGAGGGTCAAGCTCAAGAAGGCAAAGGGAGAGAGCAGTGCCTTCTTCAAGAAGATCCAGAGAGAGAAGGCCAAGCGATAGATTGCAATCACGAACGGGTTTACGGCGTCTGTGGGTGGGGAATTTAGGGAAAGGCAAACGGTGAATTTGAAGCCGCTTCACTGTATTATAGATCATACACAAACACGCCGTGGAGGCGTAAGACTGGATGCGGTGGGAAAGATCAGATAAATCTGCACATGATACGATATTATTCGATGACAAGCCAAAGGCCCAAGCTGTTGTGCCAAGCCCATGCAAATATGGTCAGTATCATCTCTAGGAGTACGCAGACAATATCCAACGAGGGATAATCGTCCATGCCATTAGGCTATAATCTACTTTCGACTCGTCCGGTCTCCCCAACAAGAAAGGGATTTTTTTTCGTGGGCTTCACTTCTCCCTTTTCCCCTGTTCCAGTTTCACGAAGGAGCTGATTCTGGCAAAGGCAAACAAGAACCAAGAAGAAGAAAAAGAGAACAAACGCGGCAAAATCGTGGTTGCGACTGTCGAAAAACGGCTCGTAAAACAAGATTGGATTTTTGGATTCCATGGGTGCATAGCTATTTTTGGTGAGCGTCATTCCCGGGGTATCTTAACGATGTCAATCGATCAAAGTCGTATCTAGTTACGGCTGTAATGAGAATTCAAGAAAAGGTCAAAAAAGTGAGTACGGGTAGAGCGAATACTCGAGTCGCCCGTATGCCACCCCCTTTCTCCCGTTTGTAGTCGAAGACCGGGGGTAGGAGGCGCAACAACATCAACACATTGTTTGGCTTTTCTTCTAGGCCCATCTATGCGGCCGGATAGGATCTTTCGGTCAGAACCTACCAAGTCCTTCACGTGGGCCGCATGGGCGAATGAATCAGAAGCAAATGTGTGTGGTCTTGGCAGACAGCGGGTTCAGTCGGATTGCTGCATTTACTATCATCTTGCGTTGCCTATCTGGCAGATCTGGGCATTGTTCCGCGCGGCTGGGGTATTCGTACTGGAGGCCCGGAGGAATACTTGGCGTCCGGGTTGGGAGATGAGCGTCCCATGTACCCGTACGGTTGCCATCTCACAAATCGCATGCAGGACTCGCTACGCCGGAAGAGGTGTACAGCAGTAATGGCGGCATGGCGGTGAACAAGTAGAGGAAGGCGGTGGTGGAATATGCTGGCGACGACGTCGTGTTGAGGTGGTGAGAATGAGAAATGACCTGTGTCACGGAGAGTGCTTGGCAAATGGCAGTGGTTATCGGCTCTCTACTCGGCGGATGGTGTGCTAGGTCTGGACTCCGTCGATGCAACGGACGGAAGAAGCGACCGGCAGTCCGCGGGCTAGGGTTGTGATTGACAGTGAGAATGTCAGAAATGCCGTATTGGAGGCGCATTGCCTTTCCGCGAGTTCCTTGTCGGCAAAGGATAAGCCAGTGTGGTTGAGCTGGTGATCAACTGTTCTTCTCAG